GGCACAGATGAGGCTGGGGTACACAGGAAATGCTTGGATAATTTATAGAGGTTTGGGTAAACAGTTTTATGGGTGGCCCAGTATGTGAGGGGGTCATCAGTTCAGCCAGGTTTATTATATCTAGGTATATCTTATCATATCTATATATGCAATATATCTCTATATATTTTATCTATATCAGATGTTATTTAGGTCTATCTACTCTGATTCCCCACTAAATACACAATCTGCTACAACACTACAAAAACTCAAAGCAACTGACGCAACAACAGCAACAAACCAACCTGCTCTGCAAAGACAAATTCAATCTCTTAACCTCTTTTAGGGCCCAGTTTAGTTGATATTGTTTGTATTTTCCTTACTTTTGGGTTAATAAAAAGCCCATAGTTTTTGAACTTTAAAAGCTGTGTCTTCTGCCTTGCTGTTTGGTCCCTGACACAGCCCTTTGGACTTACACCAATGTGCTTTAACAAGGGTCTCCTGAGGGATTGGAGGGTGGCATTTGTGGTCTTGTAAAGGTAAGTTCCCTGTTTGTGCTCTTGGTATTCTATAGCAATTTTGAATAAAAGCTCATCCAACAATCACATTTTTTAATAAAACAAAGTCTTCAAAAATAAATAATCTGTTTTGAAACAGAACTCCAGTGACTGGACTAAACTGAAACCTGAAATCAGAGTAGATGACATTCATATCTACAGGTAACAATTACATCATGAGTGATAAATGCATAGACATCACATGATGGCTAATGATGACAGCTAATGTGAGTATTGTTGCGGTTTATGCATAGACAATAAGTATATTAAAATTTACTTCTGAATGTCCCTTTAGTTCCTCTTTTGCAAAATTAGCTTACAGTCTGAAGCAGGTCACTATGAATGCAATGTGTCTGCTCGGCCCTGGGTTTGTAAGGAAAAGGTCGGTTCGCTTGTAATCTGTACCTTATTTCAGGGGACTACTACAATCAAAGCATCAACTGTAACCAAGGTAAGAAAATACATTTAATATATACATATAAAAATTAGGATTCAGAAATAATAGTAAATCCATTTGCATTTTTCAGTCCCATGTTTTAGAGTTTTAACCTATAAACCAAAACAACTTCCATTTACTGTTCTTTTCCCATTGCTTTTTTGGTCTTTGTCTCAGGTCAGCACTTTGTGGTTTGCTATCAGACAGCTTTGATTAACAGAGTGAGTGATACAGGAGCCATTCTGGACAAGCTCTTGGAATGGGGGTTTATCTCCCATGAGAGATATGGTGCTGTGAGATCTTTAACAACCACACAAGCCCAGATGAGAGACATTCTCAGGTTGGTGATTTCAGCAGGCGAAGCAGCCAAAGATGCCCTCTATGAAATCCTGAGAAGGATGAAGAATCTGAGGCCTCTCTGAGCTTGAGGGATCAGAGTGACGGCGCAAACCTTTGAACTCTGGTAGATTAATGATCGAGATGACTAATGATTAATTGTATGACTGTGGAGTCCTATGCACATATTCAGGCTATGGGATGTACTGCCCCTAAATATTTTCTGCCATGTAAGAAAAACTTGCACTGAACATAAGTATTAGAGCTGGGCCAGTCCAACAGATGATCAGTATGCACGCCAGCTAACAAATAAGTCTCCATTACGTAGTTTAAAGCACTGCCAAGTCTCATGTCTCTAGAACTTCACAGGCAGCTACTGAGAACATATTCTTATGAATCCACTGGATCTTGCAAACAGGACAGACACTGGCCATTACAACTTCATAAGGCAGACACAGGTTTATAGTGTATATGTCAACTTGATTTGACCGTTTTTTCAAGTGGCAAATGATAAATGAATCTTTAAGTTATCTAACATATCTAGATGTTTTTCAGCATTTTCATTATATAATTTATAATTAACAATGCCTCACCCACAGGTTTACCATATTTGCCTTTTTTAAAACAATTTTTTAGTGTTCCTATGTTTCGGTTTTTGTGTATTTTTATCTTCTGTGGTGCTCGTTCTGTGACTTTTTGTTCAAAATGTGTTGTACAAATAATGTTAAGGTTGGCCAAGATAGTAGTATAATCAAATAACTGGATGAAAATTACTATCCGTATTGTGTCTCAGACTGGTTTAAAAAGTCATTATTAGGTAGGAAGTACATTATCTAAATGTATAAGGATGCAGACATCATTTAACAATCAACGAAGGAAAATTTGAAATATTAGTTTTATTTTCCAGAAGAAAATAAAAAGAATGTGTGCAGTTAATTGAAATGATCACATTTAGAAGCATCTGACTGAAGAGTGCCAAAGGACAAACAAACAAAAGGACACAGTTAACCCTTGTTAACAAGCTGCAACATCTGTGTCACAGAGAAGGTCACAGGTCCTTTGAATTCACCTGAGCCATCAGCTGCTCCAGCTCTGGACGTGCCTTGAACCGCCCATGGAAATCGGCCTCAGTGTGCTGAGAGGAAGAGAGGAGATAGAGATGTCAGGATATTGTTACTACAATGTCAAAACCTTAAGTTGCAGCACAGTGGGGTGACAACGGAAAGGAAAAACAAAGTGCTGCTGGTGGTCACGGTATTTTGGTTGGTTTTAATGTGGACTTGTGTTAATTAAATCAGAGTTTTTCTTAATTTGGGTTCTAATTCTCATAGACTATGCGGCCAAAAGTATGTGGACACACCTGTCAACATTTTACATGCTACAGTGATGCATAGAAAACATTGTACCTCCAATGTTGTAGCAACAGTAATGTCGGGCTGCAACTAACATGACGTTTTTAACTTTTCTGGTGGAGCGACTAAGCTAGCAAATGGGCTAACCGGCACATTAATCGATAATGAAAACAAGCACATCCCTAAGAGTATTGGCCAAGTAACTAACGCGTAAATCTCAAATTCATATGTATATGAAGTTTAACAGAGGTCTTTTGACTGTCGGTTAGACAAATAACGTTAAATCATTTTAACGCATCGCTTTGTCAACGTCAACTACTTCTCTCTGACCCCTGAAAATATTGTAATGGTTATAATGTTTAGCATCCAGTTATATGGTTCCACATGTTATTGCCTGAAAGAATGTGAGAGGGGGCGCTGTGGAGTGTGTGGGGATGAGAGAGCGAGGAAGTGCAGGCCGTTGTTGTTGAGTGATGCATGTTGGGAGTAAAAGCGACTGTTAGCTTTTTTCTTTTTTCCGGGTTTAAATTCTTTATTTAATGATTTGAAACAATGTACAAACTCAGAAAAAGGGGAATAGTTATGTGCACAAGAAAGAAAAATTAATGTGCCGGTTAGCCCATTTGCTAGCTTAGTCGCTCCACCAGAAAAGTTAAAAACGTCATGTTAGTTGCAGCCCGACATTACTGTTGCTACAACATTGGAGGTACAATGTTTTCTATGCATCACTGTAGCAAGTAGAATGTTGACAGGTGTGTCCACATACTTTTGGCCGCATAGTCTATGAGAATTAGAACCCAAATTAAGAAAAACTCTGATTTAATTAACACAAGTCCACATTAAAACCAACCAAAATACCGTGACCACCAGCAGCACTTTGTTTTTCCTTTCCGTTGTCACCCCACTGTGCTGCAACTTAAGGTTTTGACATTGTAGTAACAATATCCTGACACCTCTATTTCCTCTCTTCCTCTCAGCACACTGAGGCCCATTTCCATGGGCGGTTCAAGGCACGTCCAGAGCTGGAGCAGCTGATGGCTCAGGTGAACTCAAAGGACCTGTGACCTTCTCTGTGACACAGATGTTACAGCTTGTTAACAAGGGTTAACTGTGTCCTTTTGTTTGTTTGTCCTTTGGCACTCTTCGGTCAGATGCTTCTAAATGTGATCATTTGCATTGAATTAACTGCACACATTTTTATTTTCATCTTGAAAATAAAACTGTAATGTTTCAAATTTTCCTTCGTTGATTGTTAAATGTTTTGCACCAAAAATGATGTCTGCATCCGTATACATTTACCTAATAATGACTTTTTAAACCAGTCTGAGACACAATACGGATAGTAATTTTCATCCAGTTATTTGATTATACTACTATCTTGGCCAACCTTAACATTATTTGTACAACACATTTTGAACAAAAAGTCACAGAACGAGCACCACAGAAGATAAAAATACACAAAAACCGAAACATAGGAACACTAAAAAATTGTTTTAAAAAAGGCAAATATGGTAAACCTGTGGGTGAGGCATTGTTAATTATAAATTATATAATGAAAATGCTGAAAAACATCTAGATATGTTAGATAACTTAAAGATTCATTTATCATTTGCCACTTGAAAAAACGGTCAAATCAAGTTGACATATACACTATAAACCTGTGTCTGCCTTATGAAGTTGTAATGGCCAGTGTCTGTCCTGTTTGCAAGATCCAGTGGATTCATAAGAATATGTTCTCAGTAGCTGCCTGTGAAGTTCTAGAGACATGAGACTTGGCAGTGCTTTAAACTACGTAATGGAGACTTATTTGTTAGCTGGCGTGCATACTGATCATCTGTTGGACTGGCCCAGCTCTAATACATGTTCGGTGCAAGTTTCTCCCTACACACGACAGAAAATATTTAGGGGCAGTACATCCCATGGCCTGAATATATATAATAGGACTCCACAGTCATACAATTAATCATTAGTTATCTCGATCATTAATCTACTACCAGAGTTCAAAGGTTTGCGCCGTCACTCAGATCCCTCAAGCTCAGAGATGAGAAGCCTCAGATGCTTCATCCCTCTCAGGATTTCATAGAGGGCATCTTTGGCTGCTTCACCTGCTGAAATCACCAATGTGAGAATATCTCTCATCTGGTCTTGTGGGGTTGTTAAAGATCTCACAGCACCATATCTCTCATGGGAGATAAACCCCCGTTCCAAGAGCTTGTCCAGAATGGCTCCTGTCTCACTCACTCTGTTAATCAAATCTGTCCAATAGCGTTCCACAAAGTGCTGACCTGAGACAAAGACCAAAAAAGCAATGGGAAAAGAACAGTAAATGGAAGTTGTTTTGGTTTGTAGGTTAAAACATGGGACTGAAAAATGCAGATTTACTATTATTATTTCTGAATCCTAATTTTTATATGTATACTGTATATTAAATGAATTTTCTTACCTTGGTTATAGTTGATGCTTTGATTGTAGTAGTCCCCTGAAATAAAATACAGATTATAATTCTGATTAGTTACTGGATATTTATCTGATGAAATGTTTTCTCCCTCCATTTATAGCCATTCAGTTATTAAGTTTGAAATAATTTAAAAGCACTGACCTTTATGAATAGTGCAGGTCCAGACAGTGTCCTACTCACTTGTAAGCTCGAGGGTAAAGTCATCGTCTGCTTTTCTGAAGAACACCTCAGATACATTTCTGCCGTCGTAGCTGAGTTGTCGTGACTGTGGATAATTTAAAAAGTGATAATGTAACAATATGTTTATTGTCAATGTGAACAGCCCTGTTAAAACTACTGAAACCATACTGTACTTTGGGTTGAATCTTTGCAGCTGCCTTGTCTGTTCTGAGGATGAAATCATGTCCCACTTGAAGGGGGCTTCCTGGGCCTGGTTTTGGTATTATTACTGATACCCAGGAGTTTTGCCTTTGTTCCACTTCCTGTAAAAATAAATAAATAAAGGACCCTCAAACCTAAAGAGAAGCCAGCATGAAGAACTATTTTTTGTAATGGAGAATATAATATTACATAATGCAAACAAAAAGCATGCCGTTTTGCAATGTGCATTTGTGTTCATCTTGTAATTGAACTGATCACTGTGACAAATTGAAATAGACACCTGTTTTAAGGCAGGATCAGGTGGCAGCAGGTAAACATCCAATGTGAGGAACTCTTTTTTTGAACTCTTGTAGATTAACGCATCATAGTCAGCTTTTACTGAAAAGCCTAGTTTTTTCCAGATCATGACACCTATTGGTGAGAAAGTTGGCTGGAGTAACTTGACGTGGGATGGTGTCACTTCAGACACTTGTTCCATACAATCTCCACAGGTGTCCACATGTAGAACTGCAAACATGGCTGAAATTGTAGAGCTTTGATCTGCATAATACAAACATGTACAAATTTAGTGGTGGGAAAAATTATGCACGAGTCTCTCATAATAAAACAAAAGTGGTCCTTTCATTATATTACTACTTACCGACACAGATCCAGTGTGGCAAATGTGCCTCTTCTATCTCCCCGACTGTGATGTCCAGCAGGGGGCCTGCTGGCATGTAATCCATGCAAACAGGCTTCCTCATGTGTTCCTCCCATGAGCAAAACTGGTACTTGAGGCCAACCGTTTCTTTACAAACCCAGCGCAGAGCAGACACGCAGCATTCCTAGTGACCTGCTTCAGACTGTAAGCTAATTTTGCAAATGAGGAACTAAAGAAACATTCAGAAGTAAATTTTGAAATACTTAGTCTTTTTATACATAAACCACAACAATACTCGTATAAACCACTGCGGTGATTTCACTGAAATTAGCCATCATGTGATGTCTATCAAGATGTAATCATTACCTGTAGGTATGAATGCCATCTCCTCTACTGACTTCAGGTTTCAGTTTAGTCCAATCACTAAAATTCTGTTTTAAAAGAGAGATTTATTTATTCTTGAAGACTTTTTTTTTTTTTTAATTAAAAGTGTTGGATGAGCTTTTATTCAAAATTGCTATAAAATACCTAGAACACAAACAAGGAACGTACCTTTACATGACCACAAATGCCACCCTCCATTCCCCCAGGAGACCCTTGTTAAAGCACATTGTGTAAGTCCAAAGGGCTGGTACTTCCAAATTACAAAAACATATTTGGATTTCATATTGTATAGTACTTACCTTTACTGGTATCTGGCCAGGACAAGTGGAAAAATACATAAAACGTTAGGTTACTACAATGTACACAAGGTTTAACAGTCTATGGTCAATAACAATAAAAGTTATGTAGAGAATGTTGCAGTTTTAACTACCTACCAATTCCCTGATGCTCCATGATGGCATGACAGAATGAATCGTAATGTTTTTCAAGATTTTTAGGATAATCATATCCTGTGACAAGTTTTTGGTTGCTGATTTTGTCATTTCGTGTTCCCGTCATGGACTACATTATAACAATATACTTTCATTTACATAATATGTGCTTAGAAATTACAGGGGTGTGTCGAACTTTATCTGTTCTGCGTGTTCTTTTATGAAGAATAATCAGAGTCAAATACAGTGCCTTGCGAAAGTATTCGGCCCCCTTGAACTTTGCGACCTTTTGCCACATTTCAGGCTTCAAACATAAAGATATAAAACTGTAATTTTTTGTGAAGAATCAACAACAAGTGGGACACAATCATGAAGTAGAACGAAATTTATTGGATATTTCAAACTTTTTTAACAAATAAAAAAACTGAAAAATTGGGCGTGCAAAATTATTCAGCCCCTTTACTTTCAGTGCAGCAAACGCTCTCCAGAAGTTCAGTGAGGATCTCTGAATGATCCAATGTTGACCTAAATGACAAAGGATGATAAATAGAATCCACCTGTGTGTAATCAAGTCTCCATATAAATGCACCTGCACTGTGATAGTCTCAGAGGT